CATTTCAAAAATGTTAAATGGAACCATATAGTAAGTAACCTTTGGCGTGGGCTTTTCTTACTCAAGCATCATTTCATGATTTATTTATTGGTATGTTAATAGTTTGTTTCTTTTTATTGTGAAGCTCTCTTCGATATCCTTCTTGTTGCTTATTCTACTCATAGTAGAGTGCACAAGTGCTCACACATGACAGGGAGACGGGGAGGTCGGGGGAAGGGCAGGGAGGAGCCTTTGACAGGATCTTCCAGCATACCGTGGCAGTCTCTGCCTCTCCCTCACGTTTGAGGGGTTTGAGGCAATTGAGGCATGAATTCAGGAGCCATGGGTCATGACTCTACTTTGTGGATCTCTTACCTGGATTATCACAAGCCACGACATAACATGTCCAAGGTCTGGCATGTTCAAAATGCAAAAGGACTGCAGAACCCCAGAGGTCCCCTTCACTGCACCCCGCAGTGCAGGACAGACAGCTGCAGCCAGAGGAGCACAGCCCCGTCTGCGGTGCCGGCCCATTCAGCTGTTCAGAAAGCTCAGTGGAGAACCCCAGGAGGGAATCAGCCCGCAACTTGTTTGCTGCTGAGTTCTGGACTCCAGCGGGGTGCCTGACAGCAGTTGGCACTGACCACACCTCGGGGCCTTGATATTTACATTTTCTGCTCAGTCAGTCATCTCCCTTAGGTCTCTCCTCAGTGTCGCCACCTCACAGACACCTTAGGGAAGCATCTCATGAGAAGCTGCCCACCCTGGACCCCCCCCCCCCCAAACAGACCCCTTAACTTAGCTTTACTTTCTTTGTGGCATTCGTGAGGGTTTCCTGGTGTCGTGTGCGTGCGCTCTCTCTTTCTAGAATGTGAGCTCCCCAAGGACAGGGGCTGTGTCTCTCGCCCTCAGTCCTGTCCCAGTGCTTAGATCAGAGCCTGCACATGACGGGCACGTGGCTTATGTGTCCTAGATGGCTTACTCTGTTGTTCTGGATGGGGCAGGAAGTGGCGCTCACTCGTGAATCATGGCTTCGGTTGACTACGTGGAGGCCTTCCTGTGTCCCAGCATTGGTGCCGGGTGCATAGGTCCGACAGAGGTCGACTCACTTGCATTCTTAGGCTTCATTGGTGTCCAGTGCAAATACCTGTGGCCCTGTGGCCCTCCTTTCTAGTTGCGACAGGCCAGCCACCTGTGGAGACAGACGTGGGAATAAGGGGTTTTTGCAGTTAGGGTTTATGTGTTTGTATACATGAGACTCAATTTGATTCCTTACTCAGTTTTTGAAAGATGTTTGCCCGATGAGAAATGCATTCCCTGTAAGGGGAGCCCCTGCCGCCTCTGTGATTTCCTCTCTGCCACTCTCTCCAATTCTCTGTGCTGTGTCCTCTTTTCTTCCTTCAGGCACACTTTTTTTTTTTTTTTTTTTTGAGAGGTTTTTGCTATAGGGTGCATGGGCTCACCAGAAAGACAGAGAGACGGAACGTGAAAAATCACCCCCCAGGGGGGATGGCCACACTACAGTCCCTTCTCCTCCATTCTTCTCTCGGGATCTTGGGCACACTCGCACACGCACCCGGTGTGAGTTTAAGCTGCCAGGTCTGGGACTCGAACCACAGTTGACTACATGGGAATCCAGCAACGTACCCATTCCGCCATCTGCTGGTCCCCAGTCTTCCTCCTTTACCCTTCCTCCCCTCTGTCTGGAATGTTCTCCCCCAGACACCCACATGGCCCAGTGCTTGCCTCAGTGAGTCTCCATTCCTAGGCCGCTTATCAGAGAGGCCTTTCCTAACAGTCACGTGGACCAGTGCGCTTTCCCTGCTTCTGCCACTCTCCGTCAGTCACCCTGCTCTGTCTTCTTTGGGCACTTTTGCCATCTAAGATGTGTTTAAACACACACACACACACACACACACACACACACACAGTTATCTATCTTTTTTTAATATTTAAAAAAAAGTGACCATTATTATTTTAATTTGCTATAGGGCACGTGCACTAACGAGAAAAAGAGAAAGCGAGAAAGCAAACCACCAGGTCTGGGAAATAAACTCTTCCTGAGAAAGTGAAATTAAAAAAAAAAAAAAAACTAAACTAAATCCTACCCAAATAGATCCATTGTAAAAACTCAGGTGAAAGCACAGCCTGTCTCCTGGAAAGCTTTGAAAAATAATTGTTTTGGAAAAAATCCACTTCTGGTGAGTGTGAATTTCAGTTTCTTTCCCTGAATTACCTGTTTATAGGAAAAAATGTTTGAAAAGGTTAGTTGTTTTTTTAAGGCTGGGTCTTGTGCCTGCCTGGTAGTGCAGCAGTTAATCACTCTGCCTTAGGTGCTGGATCCCGTATGACTGACTGGTTCAAACCCCAGCCGTGGCGGTTTGGAAAACACATCAGACACATGTACATGTCTTTCTAAGATCCTGATGGGATGGAGAAACGGAGGGAAAAGGGTGGTGGCATGGCGGTGCCCCACCGGGGACTGATTTCTCTTTCTCTTGTTCTCATGCACTCTGGCAAGAAAAAAGAATGTGTCTCATTGAAGACTTACTTTTTGTTTTCTAATGTTATATATTGTAAAATAAACTTAATTTTAGAATACTTTAAGATGTAATGGGAAATGGCAACTTAATGGGTTTTTTAAAGCACCGAATATTTGAACAGGAGCTGTCCAGACTGCGGTGGCACCTTTCCTGTAGTGGATTTCACTCTGGAATGTGGATGCCAAGTCACTGGAACTTGGATATGGGGAAGCAAGAGGCTTTTAGAGGCAAACATAATAGAATCTGTGGCTAGCCTATCTTTTTTAGATGGTCAACATTCTTGCCAGTTTTTGTAAAAATGTTTGCCATTTTCTTAAAGAAATGCCCTCCAGTGAATTAATTTTCTTCAAGAGCTTCACACTTAGACTGATGTACCTACAATCTTATTCCAGAGAAATCCAGAATTAGATCTAAGAAATTTTAGTAAAATCTCTTCCTTGTTTGTATTTTAAAGGTTTTTTTTTTTTTTTTGAGAGGTTTTTGCTATAGGGCGCATGCGCTTGCTAGAAAGACAGAGAAAGAGATAGAAAGCAAGAGATCACCCCCCCCCGGGGGGGTGGACACACTGCAATCCGTTCTCTTCTCTGGATCTTGGGCACGCACGCACACGCACCCGGCATGAGTTTAAGCCACCGGATCCGGGACTCGAACCTCATTCGACTACATGGGAGTGCAGTGACATAGCCATTATGCTAACTGCTGGTCCCATATTTTAAAGTTTTCATGGAAGTTACTTTTAGGGTATGAATTTTTGCATTCTAGGCTTTTGCATATTTATTCCCATAGATGAGAAGGAGAAAGGCTAACGTGTGTGAATGTTGACTCTAGTGGCGTGTTGGCAAAGCAGTTTTTAAAAAATTCTTGTTCTCTATAAATAAAACATTAATTACGTTTTCATGAGAGCCTACCTCCGTTTTAGTCCTCCATTGTTTTTGTATAGGTTGACTGTATTTAAATAGATCTCTGCTTCCTAACCGTGAGTCCTTCAGAAACCAACTTAATAATTTTTGTCCTGTTTTACAGACCTGTTACTTACTTAACATTTCCTTACAGTTTGCTTGCTTTTACCTTGGCCTTTTATAGGTGATATCTAGGAATAGGTGGATTTGATACGTTGAGTCACCTATAATCATGAGTACCGCAGGCAGTATCTCATCAGTAGTCTGGGGACCTGGGAACTGGATCTCTTAACTCTCCTTCCCACTTGGAAATTCAATAAACATCAAGTCTGGAGTTTCCTACCCTAAGCTTTGAAGTTAACATCAGTGAGTTGCTTAGAGGGTTTTTCTCAGTTGATAACTTAAAGAAAGTTGGCTGTGTTAGAATAAATGTTACATTTCAAAGTTACTTTTCAAATGCATGGTATAAATTATATTCATTTCTTAAGATTCAACACATGTCCTCAACTGCAGTGTTTATTGTTAGGTATCATTTTAAAAATTCTAGTTGAGTGGAACAAAACTTGATCTTCCTAATTCTCGGATGCAAAAAGCTGCAAATGCAAAGTCACCCAGTAGGGAGTACATTAATCTTTAGGGTACTAGGATATACCTTAAAAACACAAGTAGCGGGGGCCAGCAGTTGGCATAATGGCTATGTTGCTGGACTGGCTATGTTGCTGGACTCCCATGTAGTTGGACCGCGGTTCAAGTCTCAGACCCGGTGGCTTAAACTCATGCCGGGCTCATATGTGTGTGTGCCCAAGATCCTGAGAGGAGAATGGAGGAGAAGGAATTGCAGCATGGCCATCTCCCCTAGGGGATGATTTCTCACTTTCTATCTGTCTGTCTCTCTCTTTCTGGTGAGTGCATGCACCCTATAGCAAACCCCCCCCCAAAAAAAAACAAGTAGAAAATATGTAAAATGTACAATATTATATAAGAATTTTGTATTCACCACTCTGAGGATGTTATGGGAAAACACCTAAATTATGATAAATGCATATGTACCATTATTGACTTAACATATTCTGCATTATTTGTGAGGAATATTTCCAAAGCCAGCTGAATATTGTCATATTCAAATCAGGTCCTTAGCTGAGTGGAAATACATTGATCCTTTGTGTGAGTGTGTGTGTTCTTTTAGGTAGATATATAAAATGGCTTTAGTAGACTTTTTTGAAACTGAACTTAATGTCATGTTTTGCAAAAGGAGCAATAAACCAAGATCTAGAATATTTGTTTGTTTTTAGACATTTATCTATTTACTTGTTGTAATTTTCAAGCTGGGGTCCAAGACTCGAACTGCGGTAAGCCATGTGGAATCTAGTGTTTTACCTACCATGCCACCTCTGGCCCCGTGTACAGTGATATGTAAACACAGTGTTTTATACACCCTTTCGGTTTAAGAAAAATACTGTGTTCTGCTCAGTCACAGTAGAAATGTTGCCTTGCACATCATCTCTAACTAATTAATTTGCTACAAAAATAGATTGTGAATATAGATGTATAACCTTCTGATGTGGCATTACTTTAACAGAGAGAAGGAGCAAGAAAGGGAAGAACAGTTAATGGAAGACAAGAAAAGGAAGAAAGAGGATAAAAAGAAAAAAGAAGCCACTCAGAAGGTGGGTTTAATCACTTTATATCCACCAAGCATCCAGACTCTCTCAGCTTAGAAACCTTACATTTCCGCAATGCTACTGGAGGTATTAAAAGTATTAAGATCTGAAAGTGGGAAAAAGTCTGCATGTATTCCCCTAAAGTTGATGTGAAATAATGCTGCAACTGTTTTTTTTGTTTTTTTTGTTTTTTTTTGAAAATAGCTGTAAACATTGAGAAAGGCAGGAGAGTTATCAAACTCTCAACTTTGTTTCCTCATTTGCTTCATAATTTATCTCCTCTTTCATAAGCAAGTTGACAGAATAACTAAAATACTTGCTAGGATTTGCCCAGGTATTTTTCTGGTCCACCCATAGCATTATTGTTTAGGTTGAATCTGCCTTTTGAGAATTCCATACAGAAACTCCCACAGAGGGTTCAGTGGGCCCGCATAGTATCTGAGGGGCTGGAGCATTGCATGGCTTGGAGAAACCTGCTTATGGAAAAAGGAAAGGAAAAAAGGGGAAAAGATGCGGTCAATATGTCAGCTGTGAGGTCTCAGTTGAAGTGCTATCTCACAGAGTTGTCAAAACAGGAGCAGTTAGAGTGCCCTGCCCTTTCCCCTCTGCCTCACAACTGGTCCCTCTGCCCTGGCCACTGTCGGATCTGGCATAGTCCCTCCTCACTGTTTCTATGGTATCCGGTGAGCTGGGATCTGGCTCAGAGGAGTTGCATTGCTGTCCTTTTTGGAGGCGAAGTGATTTATTGCCAGTTCTTGTTACCACTACTTGAAGAACTGGGGAAACAGGGCCTCACTGGGGGTTAGGCTTGAGGATCCCTGCTGTGATGCTAGTTATCAGAGCTGAGTTTGGGGAGGACAGGTTCCGAGGGAACTCTAGATTTAGAACACAGTCAAGTCAATTGAACAGGAGCCCATAGGGGGCACTGCAAGTTTTCCCAGTTCTACTAAATACAGTATTTCCCATAGTTCAACCTTTTTTTTTTTTTTTGGAGAGATTTTCACTGTAGGGCGCGTGCGCTCGCCAGACAGACAGAGAGAGACATAGAGACAGAAAGCGAGAAATCACCCCCCAGGGGGGATGGTCACGCCGCAATCCCTTCTCCTCCATTCTCCTCTCGGGATCTTGGGCACGCACGCACACGCGCCCGGCGTGAGTTTTAAGCCACCGGGTCCGGGACACGAACCGCGGTCGACTACGTGGGAGTCCAGCGACATAGCCATTACGCTAACTGCTGGTTCCCCCATAGTTCAACCTTTTGAATTACTGAGATAAATCATGTATGAGTCCTAGTGAATGAGAAATCCTGGAAATATTTTTTTTTCTGAGTTGGATTGCATATGAACCTGCTATGTTAAGCATGGGAAACAGAATTTTGTATTTTCTTCATGATGCGATTAGAAGGAATGATCAGAATTATTCGGTACTGTGCTTTTTAAGATTTTATCTGTTTCTTTGAATAATGGTATGCTCCCCGTCATGTCTCCCTGCTGTCAGAGTACCTGCTTCTAATCTTTTGTTTCCCATGTGAGCTCATTAGAATTGTCTGAAATCTGGAGTAAAGATCTGAATAAAGCAGGACCAGCAGTTAGTGTAATGGCTATGTTGCTGGACTCCCACATAGTCGTTCGCAGTTTGAGTCCCGGACCCGGTGGCTTAAACTCACGCCGGGCGCATGTGCGTGTGTGCCCAAGATCCCAAGAGGAGAATGGAGGAGAAGGGATTGTGGCGTGGCCATCCCCCCTGGGGGGGTGATTTCTCGCTTTCTGTCTCTCTGTCTCTGTCTGTCTGGCGAGCGCACGCGCCCTATAGCAAAAACCTCTCAAAAAAAAAAAAAAAATCTGAATAAAGCAGCCAGATAGCAACCCAAAGGCTTTTTTGTATTTCCTTTTGACTACCCAGCCACATTGTGAGTCATGAGGTTGCCATATGCAGCTGACCACTCATAGCATTTCACTGGCATTGTCCTTGTGACTCTGGGCTCTTGAGCCTTGTGCTCCACACTGACTTGCCCCCTCCCCCCTCTCAGAGTGGTATGAGATTGAAACTCAGTGAAAGCATTTTCCTTCGGAGCACTCACATAGTTCATCTTCTAAATTGGTATGAAATTTGGATTTTGCCGCTTGTGGGAATCAACTTAAATGGGCTAGACACCAGGGAGGTTGTTAACAAGAGGATGCCAAACAAAGTGATTGCTTTACATCATGTACAGTCCAGCTCCATACTTGTCTTAGTTTTTGCTAGAGGGTGTCTGTTCTCACCAGAGAGAGATGGGGTGGGGGTGAGAAAGCACCCCCTGGGAGTTGTCCAGGCTGCAATCTCTTCTCCAGTTTCCTCTCAGGATTTGGGGCACATATGCCCAGCCAGCCATCTGGGATCCAGCACTTTGACCTCCACACCATCTCCTGGCCTTCAGTTTTCGTTCTTAACATG